GAGGGGGGCTTAACCAGGTGCTCGGTGGGGGAGGGGGGCTTAACCAGGTGCATTAACCAATGCACACTATCCCCCCCCCCCCCCCCAACCCCTCCTGTCTTTATTCTGTGAGCTGTGACCCCTTCTGACTCGCCCCGCTGATAATAAGACCCGCTCTCTGTCTACCCAGCAGAACAGTCTGGCTCCTTCCTCCACGGCACGTACCCCCAACTCCAGCTTATTGGTGAGTGTTACCAGGGCTTTCCCTATCTAGTCCAGTGGGAAGCAGAACCAGTGATAACCATTGGCCTTTCAGCTGTGTGACACGGTGTTAAACTCACTGCAGGGGCTGCAGAAGTGGCAGGATATTAACGCAGGATATTAACGCAAGCAGAACACAGGGATGCTCAAAGGCTGGCATACACCTGTCATATTAGCCGTCCAGCTGCGGACCAGCTAATGTGCTAGTACTGGTATTATAGAGTAGCGTTAGTGAATCACAAATTTAGAAAATGTAGAGGTTTATTTTGAAGAAGGCCTTCGCAGCCGCAAGCTTTGCTGAAATCTGACCCCTGTTCTCCCGGTCCCTCCTTCAGCACTCGAGTGTGGACGGCGCTGAGTCCAGCCTGCACTCGTCCTCCTTCCCCTCCGCGGCCACGGCGGCAGCGTCAGTCTCCTCGGCACCCCCTGCCCCTTCCTCCGCATCAGTGTCCGCCGTACTCAACGCCCCGCCGCCCTCCGTCAGCACTGTGTCAGCTCAGCCCTGCCTGGGCCCCGTCAGCGGCCTCAGCATGGGCCTGAACAGCGCCGGCACAGCGGTGCCCCCGGTGGTGGCTGCGGTGGCCTCGTCCTCTGCGACGGTGACCGTGGCCTCCACTTCGGCGTCGGCTCGCAGCTCTGTGGCTTCAGGTTAGCGCTGCCCCAGTGTATGATGTCGCCCCCTTCAGAAGGGGAGTAGCATTGCTCCATAAACAATATGCTCTTTCATCTCTAGGGAAAGCACCTCCTAATCTGCCCCCAGGAGTGCCTCCCCTGTTACCCAACCCCTACATCATGGCCCCTGGGCTGCTCCACCCCTACCCAGTGAGTACTGCCTTTGGCTGGTTTGTACCCAGTGCCGCCTGTGGTATCCAGACTGACGCTCCCCCATGTTATATGGTGATTGACACCTGTCTCTGCTGCAGCCCCAAGTGTACGGCTATGACGACCTTCAGATGCTCCAGACCAGAATCCCGCTGGTACGTTTTCGCCTTACCAGCTTCTCTTTCTGTATGGTGGGGATTTGCTGACATTTTCTCCCCATCATTGCTTTTTAAATGTGGGTAGAGACTAATTGTGTAAGGCTGTTTTGGTAATAAACTGGCTGTCTCAGCTATGCAACGCAGTGGTTAAGACACTGATTTTAATTTCATCCAGGTCGTGATTCCCAAAAAGAATCTCATCTCTGGCCTTTTTTGTGAGGTTAATCTATTTATATTTATCAGTAGGGCCTGCTTATGGAAGCATCGCTTGCACGGATGTGCGTTTTACAGTAACCTCTTTCGGCGATCCATGACACGTTCTGTGTCAGTAGATCTGCCTTATGTAAAATGTGGAAAGTTAAGGTGCTGTGAATGGTAGCCATATTGAATTTAGCTAAACGGTTAGCCATGTCGGTTTGTGGACCCTGATCACAAGGTGTTGTACAGGTACCAGTGAAGTACCTTTTGATCAGTCACGGGCTTTTCACAGCCCTGCTTCCCCTCTTCATCCTGCCACATGTCACTGCTCTGTTAATACCTGAGGATGGGGGTGGGGGGGGGTCACCACCCTTCATATTCACAATACAGGGAAGCGCTAATCGAGTTCTGCTCCTTGCCAGGATTACTACAGCATTCCCTTCGCGACCCCGACCACGGCGCTGACGGGCCGCGAGGGCAGCCTGACCAACAACCCGTACTCCGGTAAGACTGCACGCCCATTCCGCAGCCTGCCCCCTCCCACCTGGGGCTCTCGATTGGCCATCGGCCTCCAAAACGCCTGTTTACTCCGTTTCAGGATAAATATCTCCTGGGTTGTCTGGCTTAATATGCTAATGGTGTGAATTAGCCCAGCTGGGGGACAGACATCTATCCTAACATCATACTGCTCAAACGCCTTTCCTAACGCTCTCTCCCTCCTTCACCCCCCAGCGGCGGAGCTCACCAAGTTCGGGCGCGGCGAGGCCCCGTCCCCGGCGCCAGCCACCACGCTGTCACAGCCGCAGCAGAGCCAGCCACAGACGCACCACACCACTCAGCAGCCCTTCCTGAACCCGGCGCTGCCCCCGGGCTACAGCTATACCAGCCTGCCCTACTACACGGGTGTGCCCGGCATGCCCAACCCCTTCCAATACGGCCCGGTCTTCCCGGTACGGTCGCCCTGCCCTTCCCCACTCTGGGATCCATTCTAAATTTTCAGACCGACGGACAGTCAGACACTCGGAGGACGCGTTTAAGGCAATTTGTCTTGTAGGAAGCATGTGTGCACAGAAAAAAAAACAATTAAACACCACTGGAAATATATTCTTATGTTAGGGTGACCAGATAATCCATGTCAGGGAGGACACTCTGAGCTAGGACAGGAATTGTAAATTACCATTTCAATTAAACGGACCTGGATTTCACTTGAGCACTGAGTTCTTGCTGTGTGCTGATTGGTCAGTCTCCTATAATCATGCATGTGTCACTA